CCTCAGTGGATACATTGACTAAATCAGTGGCGGAGACGCGTTTGCTGGTGAAGACATCGCTGCCACGTCTCTGCAGCTGGCTGAGAAAGAAACACCCCAGGCCACTGTCACCTGGTGGACTGCCAAAGACAAGGCACCTGCTCATCTTCAGGCAGGAGAGGATCCACATGCTGCTGGTAATTCAGAGTTTCAGAGAAATGCATGTGCAGATATAAGAGCATCGAGCAGGTTTGACACAGGCACCGAGCAAATTGACACAAGGGTTGCAGAACTGCTCAAACGCTGCCCCTGTAATGCACATGTGTCTGCTTGAAGCTTAACCTCACTCCAGTTGCCCTTTCCTTACAAGGAGACCGGGTGGTACATGTAGGCAGTCAATTGAAGGAAGAAACACATACAGGCTCTATAGAGATCTCTCAGGACACTCAAATGTATGTCCGTGTCTTCCACCTCCACCCTGACTGCCACCCTCAGCTTGTGAGAGCTTGAATCGAGGAGGATGCACCTATCTCTGGGCAGGATACACTCAGCATTTCTGGTCCCTTGAGTCATAAACACCTCACAGGCCATCTCATGTGATGTTTCCAACGTTCTTACCAATGCCTGTGTCATTCAGTGCTTGGAGAGAGTCATCCCAATTGGTTGGATGGGTAACAAAGGGAAAAATAAGATTAGCAAAGAGACAATATGAGAGTAGAATGGTAGTTAACATGAAAAGATCTTATTTTATTTTCCTCTTTCATTTGTGGGATGTGGGCATCACTGGCTGAGCCAGCATTTCTTGCCCATCCCTAGTTGCCCTTGAGAAGGTGGGGGTGAGCTGCCTTCTTGAACCGCTGCAGTCCTCCTGCTGTGGGTTGACCACAATGCCCTGAGGGAGGAAATTCCAGGATTTTGACCCAACAGCAGTGAACAAACAGAGATATATTTCCAAGTCAGGATGGTGAGTGACTTGGAGGGGAACTTGGAGGTGGTGGTGTTCCCATATATCTGTTGCCCTTGTCCTTCTAGATGGAAGTGGCTGTGGGTTTGGAAGATGGTGTCTGAGGATCTTTGGTGAATTTCTGCAGTACATCTTGTAGATAGTACACACTGCTGCTACTAAGCGTCGGTGGTGGAGGGAGTGGATGCTTGTGGATGTAGTGCCAATCAAGCGGCTGCTTTGTCCTGGATGGTGATAAGCTTCTTGAGTGTTGTTGGGGCTGCACTCATCCAGGCAAGTGGGGAGTATTCCATCACACTCCCAACTTGTGCCTTGTAGATGGTGGACAAGTTTTGGGGAGTCAGGAGATGAGTTACTCGCCGCAGTATTCCCAGATTCTGGCCTGCTCTTGTAGCCACTATGTTTATGTGGTGAGTTCAGTTGAGTCTCTGGTTAATGGTAACCCCTGGATGTCGATAGTGGGGGATTCAGTGATGGTAACACCATTAAATGTCAAGGGGCGGTGGTTAGATTGTCTCTTATTGGTGATGGTCATAGCCTGGTATTTGTGTGGCGCGAATGTCACTTGCCACTTGTCAGCCCAAGCCTGGATATTGTCCAGATCTTGTTGCATTTGAACATGGACTGCTTCAGTATCTGAGGAGTTGTGAATGGTGTTGAACATTGCAATCATTGGCAAACATCCCCACTTCTGACCTTATGATGGAGGGAAGGTCATTGATGAAGCAGCTGAAGATGGTTGGGCTGAGGACACTACCCTGAGGAACTCCTGCAGAGATGCCTTGGAGCTGAGATCGTTGACCTCCCACAACCACGACCATTTTCTTATGTGTCAGGTGCGAATCCAACCACCGGAGCATCTGCCCCCTGATACCCATTGATTCCAGCTTTGCCAGGGCTCCTTGATGCCACACTCGGTCAATTGCAGCTTTGATATCAAGGGCTGTCACTCTCACCTCACCTCTGGAAATCAGCTCTTTTGTCCATGTTTGAACCAAGGCTGTAATGAGATCAGGAGCTGAGTGGTCCTGGCAGAACCCAAACTGGGCGTCGCTGAGCAGGTTATTTCTGAGCAGGTGCTGCTTGATAGCACTGTTGATGACACCTTCCATCACTTTACTGATGATCGAGAGGAGACTGATGGGGCGGTAATTGGCCGGGTTGGATTTGTCCTGTGTTTTATGTGCACGACATACTTGGGCAATTTTCCACATTGTTGGGTTGATACCAGTGTTGTAGCTGTACTGGAACAGCTTGGCTAGGGGAGCGGCAAGTTCTGGAGCACAAGTCTTCAGTACAATTGCAAGAATGTTGTCAGGGCCTGTAGCCTTTGCAGTATCCAGTGTCTCCAACTGTTTCTTGATATCACATGGAGTGAATTGAATTGGCTGAAGACGGGTATCTGTAATGCTGGGGACCACTGGAGGAGGCCGAGATGGATCATCCACTCGACACTTCTGGCTAAAGATTGCTGCAAATACTTCAGCCTTATCTTTTGCACTGATGTGCTGGGCTCTTCCATCATTGAGGATGGGGATATTTGTGGAGCCTCCTCCTCCAGTGAGTTGTTTAATTGTCCACCACCATTCATGACTGGATGTGGCAGGATTGCAGAGCTTAGATCTGATCCGTTGGTTGTGGGATCCCTTAGCTCTGTCTATCACTTGCTGCTTTCGCTGTTTGGCGTGCAAGTAGTCCTGTTTGGTGGCTTCGCCAGGTTGATACCTCATCGTCAGGTATGCCTGGTGCTGCTACTGGGATGCCCTCCCGCACTCTTCATTGAACCAGTGTTGTTCCCTGGCTTGGTGGTAATGGTTGAGTGGGGGATATGCCGGGCCAAAGAGGTTACAGATTGTGCTGGAGTACAATTCTGTTGTTGATGGCCCACAGTGCCTCATGGATGTCCATTCTTGAGTTGCTGGATCTGTGTGAAGTCTGTCCCATTTAGCATGGTGGTAGTGCCACACAACATGATGGAGGTTGTTCTCAATGTGAACATGGGACTTTGTCTCCACAAGGACTGTGCAATGGTCAGTCTTACCGATACTGTCATGGACAGGTGGAACTGCAGCCGGCAGATTAGTAAGGATGAGGTCAAGTATGTTTTTCCCTCTTGTTGGTTCCCCCACCACCTGTCGCAGACCCAGTCTAGGAATTATGTCCTTTAGGACCCAACCAGCTCGATCAGTAGTACTGCTGCCGAGCCACTTTTGGTGGTGGACATTGAAATCCGCCACCCAGAGTACATTTTGTGCCCTTACCATCCTCAGTGCTTCCTCTAAGTATTGTTCAACATTGAGGAATACTGATTCATCAGCTGAGGGAGGACAGTATGTGGTAATCAGCAGGAGGTTTCCTTGCCCATGTTTAACTTGAAGCCGTGAGATTTCATGAGGGCCAGAGTCAATGTTGAGGACTCCTAGAGCAACACCCTCCGGACAGTATCCCACTGTGCCGCCCCCTCTGTGGGTCTGTCCTGCCGGTGAGACAGGACCTATCCAGGGATGGCGATGGTAGTGTCTGGGACATTGTCTGTAAGGTGTGATTCTGGGAGTATGACTTTGTCAGGTTGTTGCTTGACTAGTCTGTGAGACAGCTCTCCCAATTTTGGCACTAACCCCCAGATGTTAGTGAGGAGGACTTTGCAGATCAACAGGGCTGTTTCTGCTGTTGTCTTTTCTGGTGCCTCAGTCGATGCCAGGTGATCCATCCAGTTTCATTTCTTTGAGGCTTTGTAACAATCGGCACAACTGAGTGGCTTGCTAGGCCATTTCAGAGGGCAATTGAGAGTCAACCACATTGCTGTGAGTCTGGAGTCACATGTTGGCCAGACCAGGTGAGTGTGGCAGATTTCCTCCCCTGAAGGACATTAGTGAACCAGATGGGTTTTTTCCAACAATCAGCAATGAATTTGCATCTAAGATGTAAGAAGATAGTAAGAAGCAGAATGGGGCATTTTTCGATCAAAGAGGGTGGTATATGTTTAAAGGCACATGGCAAGGTTAGAATAATTTGCACTGGCTTTTACTGAAGAAGAAGATGCACCCTGACAAACAGAAGTAGATATGGAGATGGTAGAGGTCATGGATGGACTGAAAATTGAGGAACAGAATGTTGGGAAGGTTGGTATGTTTAGGAAGGATACGTTTGACTGGTCCAGATAGTTTGTGAAGGGAAGACGGAGTGGAGGTAATAGAATGTCTTGCTATATTTTTGCAAACTTTCTTAGAAACACAGAGGTGCCAGAGGATTGGAGAGTGGCATCAGCACATTTCCAGTAACTGCATGCCAGACAATTCAACTTTAATATTAACACTGGATAAGGTTTTACAAACAAAAATCAAAGAATGAATTATCAGGGACTTGCAAGAGTTTGAGTTAATTTAAGGTGAGACAGCACAGAAATGTAAACCAGACCATATTTGACTAATGTAGTTAAAAATATTGGCAAAGAAAGAGAAAAAGTTGAAGAAGAAAGTACAATGGATATTGTCTGTATGGATTTTAGAAAAACTTTGAAAAAGTATCACGTTAGAGGCAGGAATAACAAACTTAAAGATGGTGGAATAGGGGGGCCAGTCTCAACTCGGATAAAAGTTTGGCTTCAGGATAGATACCAGCAAGTCCTATGTAACACTGTTACCCTGCAACTACATTCGCCTTCAAGTTAAGCCACTATATCATTATCACTGAGGAGAGAGTGTAATTATAAGTGATAAGTTTTCATACAAAGTTTATATTGTAACTGGACATATGAATCATTAACAGAAATATAAACTTAGAAATTTTAAATGAGGACTGAATCCCATTGACACATCTTATCCCTGCACCTTTTACTCTGCTTCTGTTACTGACTGCGTTAAGTTTTAAATAACACATGGGAGATCAAAGTATCTAATGTAAATTGTTGAAACATTTTGATCTATTTCAGTAGTCACTTTTTTTGCCGAGTGCGTAAAGCTGGTAGACATAAGATCAGTACAGTGTGGAGCCTGCCATTATAGAGCATTAAAGTTTGCATTTATTGTTGGCTTAATCACTTCATACAATTTTGCTGAATAGTAGTTATTAATGGTCAGCACGATAACGTGAGTAACAGTTGGCAATATTTAAACCAAGATAATAGAGAGTTCACAGAAGTTTACAATATAAGGAAAAATGCAGTCAATCCAGGAAGCATGGGCATAGTAATCAGACTTCTTTGTCCCTTGTGAGATCTTCTGCAGATTTCTCATGCTGTAATAATGAATCACATAACAGAAGCTGTCTAGCTTTGTGCATGAATCTGCAATGAAGGAAGACATTAGTATTTTAGATTTATTTTAGAATGTTAAATAAAATACAATAAACATCTGTGAATTTCCAACATCAATATAGAAAATGAAATCATTTATTATTTTGGTTTAATCAAGTGGTACAAGTGGAAGCCAATGACTATCGCCATTCACTGTAATAACACACTTATTAAAAGTCAAATAAAATGTAATGCTAACAAGAATAAATAAAATCTTAAATTGGTATCTGCAGATTAGGTGAGGTAGCTGGTAAACTAGTTTCCTGAAAGCTCTTCATCTAACAGTTTCCAGGGATGCTTTCGTTGACTAGTTTTCTAACAACTTCCTTTTTTGTACCATTCCATAAGGAACTAATAAGACTGGACAAGTTTTCCTTCTAGTTATTAATCTATTTAAAGATACTGCTACCACTTAATACTTGTTTGTAGTTCCAGGAATAAATTGCAACATACCATGTGGAGGTTCTTGAGTGTTTATTACTTTTAGTTGTTTCAGTGCTTGGCAATCGGAGGTGTTTAAATGATTGTTTAATCTGGAATAGAGATTTTAATAAAATTGAATAGTTACAAAGGGTTTTGGCCTGAAACATTGACTTACCTGCTCCTCTGATACTGTCTGACCTGCTGTGCTTTTCCAGCCTCACGTCTATAGACTCTGGCTTCCAGCATCTATCGTCCTTTTATTGTCTCCAAGCCACTGAATAGTTACAAATATTTTGCCAGTTATTATAAGGCCTTGCATTTCCTCCAATTAATTATTGGCAAGTCTGAAGCCATCTTTCCTTGCAGGAAAATTAACTACCAACTCCATCTCTCTCTTTGGCAATTGTACGGAACTAAATCAGACCCCTCACAGCCCTGGTATCATATTTAACCCAAGGATCAGCATCTGTCAGGCGATTTTCTGGTCTCAACTCATCTCCTGCTGAAACCTTCATTCTTGTCTTTGTCGCCAATAGTCTTGACTAGTTGGACACACTTCTGGCCAGCCTATCCTACTTTCTTTAAACTTGAGGCCATCTACAGTTCTACTTCCCATGCTGCATTTCATATGAAGTCCTGTTCAGTCATCACTCCTTTGGTCACTGAAGTACAAACTGACTCTCAGTCAAACAGCATCTCAATTTTAAAATTGTTACCCTAGTTTTCAAATTCTTCCATGGATTTGCAGTCTCCTCTCCACACCACCCCATTTCTATAAATCTCTTCCAGTCTAAGTATCCCCCAAGCTCTTTTGTGTTGTTTAGATCTGCACTCATGAGCATACAGAGTTTAGTCGCTCCAGGATTGATGGCTGTGTATTTAACCACTTAAACCCTAAGCTCTGAAATCCTCTCCGTACATCTCTCTGCCTCGCTACCTCCTAAGACACGATAAGACATTTCTGTCTTGGATCAGGTTATTTGAACTGACATCTCCTTATGTGGTGCTGTGTTAAATTTAGTTTGGAATATTGTTGTAGGACACCTTGGGACACTTTATTATGTTAAAAATAGTGCCCTACATTGTTGCAAATTGTATTGTTTGGTGTTACACAAGATTGTGTTGTCCTTTATTGTCACCCTTTGTTACTGCGTTGCATCATATCATATGTCCGACTGTATATGATGTTACAACATCACTATTTCTTTTGTTACCCCATCATTATATATCTTGCATTACTATGAATAATCTTTTCCTGTATTACACGATACTGTATTACTGTATGTTACATTTTCCCAGGATCATATTGTACTGTGTTACAATTTATTGTTGAATGATTCAACAAAAATGGACTGGAAACAACTATATGAAGCTAAGTCAGTGTCAGAGTAATGGGAAATAAAATCAGAAAGTGCTGGAGAAACTCAGCAGGTCAAACAGCATTTGAGGAGAAAGGAACAGAGTTAAAGTTCTAAAGGCAATAAGGATGCCATCTGTTCCACTGCTCCTTCAATCCACAACACCCCACCACCCACCCAATTTTCCTTTCAGTTTCGTAGACGCATACCAGACTCAAAATGTTAAGTCAGTTTCTCTCTTCACAGATGCTGCCAGACCTGCTGAATTTCTCCAGCATTTGCTGTTTTTGTTTCAGATTTCCAGCATCCACAGTATTTTGCTTTCATTGGAGTAATGGAACATATTCAATGAGAGGAAGGGTTTGAGAACAAAGATCTGCATTTATATAAAAGCTTTCACAAAGACTGGACTTTCTAAAGGACTTTACAGCTAATTACATTTGTTTGAAGTCACTGTTATAAAGTAAGAAATGTAAGAATTTTTTCCCTAATAGTACTTGCTAATATCCTGTGAAAACACCTTCCAAACCCACAGCCTCTATCGTCTGGAAGGACAGGGGCAGTAGCTGTGTGGCAACACCGTTATTTGCAAGTTCCCCTCCAAGTCACACACCATCCTGAATGGGAAATACATCCCTGTTCCTTATTGGTTGTTGGGTTAACATTTTGCAACTCCCTTCCTCATAGAGTACCCACACATACAAACTGCAGCAGTTCAAAAAGGTGACTCACCACCACCTTCACAGAGGCAGTTAGGAATGGACAATAAATAGCTGTCCAGCCAACGATGCCACATTCCATAAACAAATAAAAATGGCAGCTAATTTGCACATAGCAAAATTCTGCAAACAGCAACGTGATATCAGGCAGGTAATCTGTTTTTGTGATGTTGACAAGGGATAAATATTGGTCATAAGGGGTCACTCATAGAGTCATAGAGCTGTAAAGCACAGGAACAGACCCTCTGGTCCAAATCATCCATGCTGACCAGCTATCTGAAATTAATCTAGTCCCATTTTTTTTTTATTTGTTCATCGGATATGGGCATTTATTGCCTATCCCTAATTGCTCAGAGGGCAGTTAAGAGTCAACCACATTGCTGTGGGTCTGGAGTCATATGTAGGCCAGACCAGGTAAGAATAGCAGATTTCCTTCCCTAAAAGGACATTAGTGATCGAAATGGTTTTTTTCTGACAATCAACAATGGATTCATGGTCATCATTAGATTCTTAATTCCAGATTATTATTGGATTCAAATTCCACCATCTGCCACAGTGGGATTCAAACCTAGGTCCCCAGAACGTTACCTGGGTCTCTGGACTAATAGTCTAGTGATAATACCACTAGGCCATTGCCTCCCTACAATCAATTTGCCCGCATTTGGCCCTTATTAGACCCTTTGTTAGACATATGTCTCACGTGCTGCCTACAAAAGCAGCAAGACCTCCAATCTGACTCTTAGAAGGAAGGCCTGCTGGATTTTATATCCATCAGGCACTTAAGTGGACACCCGCAGGCCTTCCTCAACTAAGGACCACATGTCAGGGGTCATGGAGAGAGGGCATCTATCAGGGACTGAAGCAAGGGCAGAGGGGTGGTTGCCAGGGGCCAGTAACCCCCAGTCCCATGTCCAGTTCTTCAGTCATGCAAAAAAAAATGCTGATTGATGGACGCCCTCTCCTCCAATTTACAGCTTGCCCACACTGATCTACCTGTCTGATGGGTTACCTGTTATTTGAACTGAGAATATTGCAGCAAAGTTATGGGTAAGCCCTTTAACAGTCATTAAGTGATTATTTAAGGGTCTTAAGTGGGGACAGGGCAGGAAAGTTGCTTATAGGCCTCCTATCCCAGATTTACTTGGGGGTCAGGAGGTATGATGGCGTCAGGCATTTGTCACGAAAGTAACCCAGGCCTCATGCCTCGATTCCAGCTTAAAGTGGGACCTGGAATGTTCTGCCAAAAAAGGTTTTCCATTTAAGACAGAGCTGCAGAGAAATGTTTTCTCTTAGAGGCTCATTCATCTGTGGAATCTTTTACTCAAGTGAGCAGTGGAAGCTGGATCATTGAATATTTTTAAGGCTGAGTTGAACAGATTCTTGATTGGCAAGGTGTCAAAGGGTAGTGAAGGGGGGAGTGGCAGGAGGGGAGGTAGATAGGAAAGTGCATTTGAAGCCACTAACAGATACAACATCTTCTCATCAAATGGCAGAACAGCCCAAAAGGGTGCCAGTGGCCTACTCCTGCTCTTAATTTGTATGTTAGTTTGCACAGGCATGGTACTGGAGATCTGCTGACATTGTTCCATTGTTTACAAAGGGTAAGAAAGGAGACAACAAATTATTGCTGAAAATAGAATTAAGAACTGCAGATGCTGGAGATCTGAAACAAAAGCAGAAATTGCTGGAGAAACTCAGCTGGTCTGGCAAAATCTGTGAAAGGAGAGTCACCAGACTCGAAACATTAACCGAATAATTACAGGCCAGTCAACATATCACAGCAAACGTGTGAACTGTCAATTAGAAAGGCACGGATTAGCCAAACACAATCAATGCAAACATTGATTGAGCATTATGGAGTGGTGAGGAGGAGGAAAAATGAAACTAGAAGTATACATGGATTTCAAGAAGGCTTTTGATATTTCATACATTGTCAGTGGGTTTTAATGAGGAGGAGAGCTGGGCACTGCAGGTGAATATCAATGAAAGGTCAGGTGGGCAGGAAAGTGGCAAATGGAAGTTGATCTGCAGAAGTATGAGGAAATGCATTTTAGAAGGCAAACAAGACAAGGAATGCACAATAAATGGTAGGATATTGAATGGTATGAAGCTGAGAAATGTAGAGGAATAGAGGAACTTTGGAGTGCAGGTCTATAAATCACTGAAGGTGGCAAGAAGGTCAGAAAATATGGTCAAAATGTAGATAAGGTATATTGTTTTTTAGCTGAAGCATTGAATATAAGGGGTTGTACCAGAACTGCATAAAACATGAGCAAAGCCACAGCTGACATTCTACATGCCATTCTGCTCACCACAATACATGAAGAACATGATCATACTGGAGAGAGAACACAACAGTTTGATAAGGATGTTGCCAGGAATATAGAACTTCAGTCAAGAGGAAAGGTTGCATGGGCTGGGATTTTTGAAAGGTAAAGGGGAGGCTAAGGGGAGATTTAATTGAGATTTATAAAATTATGAGAGCTGACATACATTAGATCAAAAAAAATTCTCTTTGCAGAGATGTCAATCATGAAGGGGCATAGATTTAATGTGATTGACAGAAGAATTAGATGGGAGCTAATGACAATGTTTCACACCCAGAGCACGATGGGGCCTGGAATTCATTGCCCAGTTAGCAGTGATAGAAAATCTCACCATATTTAAAAAAAAAAGTACTTTGCTATGTATACGGGGGAGGTGATCGCCTAGTGGCATTATCGCTGGACTGTTAATCCAGAGACCCAGATAACATTCTGGTGACTCAGTTTCAAATCCCGCCAAGGCCGATGGTGGAATTTGAATTCAATAAAATATCTGGAATTAAGAATCTAAAGATGACCATGAATCCATTGTTGATTGCCAAGAAAACCGATCTGGTTCACTAATGTCCTTTAGGAAAGGAAACTGCCATCCTTACATGTAACTCCAGACCCACAGCAATGTAGTTGACTCTCAATTGCCGGGTGGGCAACAAATGCTGCCTAGCCAGTGATGCCCTCATCCCGTGAATGAATGAATAAAGAAAAAAAAATAAATTTGAAGTGCCATGTCCTACAGGGCTACAGAGCAAGACCTGAAAAGTGGGCTTTAACTGGATATATCTTCTTGGCAGAAGAATACCGTATGGCTCAAATGGCTGGGTTTGTGTTAGATTTGGGAATTGTAAGTTGAACCATTTCAAGATACCATGTTCCCATCTCCTGTATATGCACACGTACAGATATAATTTTCCTCCTGGGTGTCAGGATTGGCCTGGAATTGCAGCCACTGCTTTCTGAAACAGGTCCAAGTTGGGAACAGATGTGGCCAGTTTTGAGATCAGCAGGCCATATGTATTCATGACAATAATATCCACTAGCTTTCACCCCTCATATAATGATCCATTCACCCACCTCCCATGCCCTCTCCATACCTCTATTCCCCTTCAAACTCACGTACAAAGTCCACAACAGACAGAACTCATGACCGTGTAATATCACCGGGAGCTCTGTTTATTTTGTCAGTCTCATGAACATTTTAATTATCAGTTCTTTCTCCACTTAAAACGTATGCTCCTCAAATGACCGCATAAAATTATCAAATATATAAAACTCAAAATTCCATTTGAGAAACATACTGCTCTAATTGCTCCTAACTCAGTCAGAATAAACGAATCGCCATTCAAAAGTTCCTTTAAAAAATTCTTTAATCCTATTATATGCTCTTAAAATTGTTAAACTGCTGCATTAATGGTTGCTGTTAAGCTGAATCAATTAGTCCAGTTTAGATCTCAGCCAAGCATTCACAACAAGACTCCATTCCACACTGCAGTATAAAAATAATTTATAGTATTCAATACAGAGGAGTCCTGGAAGTTAACTGAACAGACAGATATCCTCTTGTTCAGTTTTTTTTTATTAAAAGCGTTCAACAGATGGACTTTCAATCATGTAAAAATAAAAGCATTGGGTTCAGATGACATGTTAGATTCTCAATACAGTTGAATGAATAATGACTTTTTAATCCACTGAAGAAAGCTCTCTATAAGATCTGGTCCACCTAATGATCAAATTATATTTTAAGGACAGAAGCTTATGACAAATCACTCTATTAAAGATGTATTTTCTGAAGAAGGGTCTAGGCCCAAAACGTCAGCTTTCCTGCTCCTCTGATGCTGCTTGGCCTGCTGTGTTCATCCAGCTCTACACCTTGTTATCTCTATTAAAGATGTAATTGCATTATCATACAGCATCTAATCATGATTCTTGAAGTTGGCAACCCCTTCAAACTTGCTTGTCAAAGGTTTCCTGATTCCACAATAGGCATTTTCCAAAGTACATGAACAAACTGATGTGATGTATTTCATACAGGATTCAGAAACCTGTCTACTTCACTGGGGATCTCAGGGTAAAGGAGAGGCTGATTCAGGGGATTTCAAAATTAAGTGAAGTATTTAAAAAACTGCAATTTCCATCGATGCCTAGTCACAATTCACTAAATTTCCAAAATGGTGGCCCACAGGAATTCAGCCAGAAAATTCCAATTTCCGAACTCCACCTCCATCTTTCCCAACATGGGTTTGATAAGTACTGCTGAGTTACTACTTCCTGTTGTGTGAATCTGTCATAACAGCCTGGACATCACCCCTCCCTCCAGACTTTTATCCATCATGAGATCCCGATCCAGTCACTTGGGTCAAGGATCTCTCTTTAAGAAAGCTTGCTGCCTGCCCTTAAATGAACAAATGATACTTAATCTGCCATTGTCCTGAGCACACTTCCCTCCTGATGCAATCTGGGACGTGGTTGCAGTAAAAGTGAAAGACAGGATAATAGGATGGATTGTAGACCCAACCCACTTGGACAATCCCACTTCCATGGAGTAAAGTGCTGAAGGAAGGACCAATGGGCTTCCTTGCTGGGTTGCAGAGAGGGTGGGAATAGAAAAATGAATTTCAGATTGGGAAGTGACAACAAGCCTCCTTATTTAATTTTCCAATTTTGGGTAGTACTGCAGAGAGAAATCCAGGCCCAGAACGCCAAGTGAAAATCAATAAAATAAATAGTCATCAATGGACTGCAATAAAAATAAGTTTCTCTCTTCTACATTTATAATGTACAATTGCCAGACAAGAGCACAGAATTACTTTACCCAAAAGGAATAGATGTTCAAAGCCGGAATCGTTTGTAAAATGGTATGAATGCTAACTGACAGCATGCACAGTTGAGAAGTAAACCATTCTCAGAGAGAAAATGAGAAATGTGCAACTTTTACACTGCGCTGTTGGGATTAGAAATGTTGTACATTGTACTTAGGCTTTAATTGAATTAGTAATCGTCATCCTTGCCGCGTTTTGGTTTGCAAAGTATAAATTAATAAAAAATGCTGTGGTTCCTTACACTTTTCAGAATGCTTCTAAAGTCTATCATTTCTGACTGATGGGTTTGTTTTTCCGCTTTTAACTCTGCATCGTTGTTAATTCCGAGGTTGAATTCAGTGTCTGTTTTAGTTGATACTGAATCAGTTGGGATAAGTGCTGAATCCGAAGGCACTGGGAGAATTATTCCTGCGTGGCAGTCAGGCTCCTGTGAACCAATTGCTGATGCTGGCGTTGGTATTGTACAGCTGGATGAATGCAAGGGCCAAGTCTCTGATGTTGCACTCCCTGTTTGCCTCAGCACCTCTGCGTATGAACAGAAGGAGAACTGTTCCTCCACCAAGCGCTGCAGCTGCTGAAGGTTAGACCAGAATGTTAGCACAACTTTACCTGAAAACTTGTGTTCGTATTTTCTACATTTTCTATAAATGATCACATTCAGAAGTATGACTTGATTGACATGATGTAAGATCACTCAACATTTGCAGATTTAAAAGGAATACAGTTAGAGGTATAGGAAAAACAAAGGGACATACCAAAAGTTAAGTTTTACGCACACCATTAATGTGGAGATACTGAAAAAGGAGTGAAACAATGACCAACTTATACTTATTACAGAGTGCTCCTCTAACAAACTTCTAATTCTTTAGATTAACTAATGTTAGACTCAAAATGTTGCACGCCTTCCAACAATACCAGTTCACCAGAGAACAGCTGGATTGGAGCCAGGCATTCCAGATGATGAGTCGGGATGGGGTGAGCACGGTGAATTGATGGGTGGGAAGGTAAGTGTGGGGGATAATGAGGGCAAACTGAGTTTTGTTAAATGGGTGATGTGGAAGGGACTGGTGAACACATTTGGTGGGGAAAAGGGTATGTAGTTTGGGAAAGGGCGAGCACTGTTCTTGATTTGGTGGAGAGGGGTGGTTTCAGCCTTGTCATTGAAGGTGAATGGGAATTGAAGGAAAAGAGGCACAGCAACTGAGCACTGCTATAGGTGCTGGTGCTTCTTAATATTCCAGATACAAGCGAGATCTTCCATTCCCCAGTTAGCCGGTACACATACTGGATGGTGCATGTTGGAATTGTGCAGAAAGCCTAATGAAGCTGGCACCACAGGAATTGCTTGGGAACCCTCCACAAATATTAACTTGACTCTGAAACTTTGGATGTTCCAAGTCCCTTACCATAACAGCTAGCTAGGGTAACTTAGGGGAATTAAAACCTGCTCTAATTCCTGGTATGATGGTAATGGCAGAGTGAAGTATATATGCCAGACCATTGTTCCACATTGTGGTTGCGTGCAGGTTCTCCTGCTGCTGATGGCTCATAGCGTCTCATAGATGCCCAGTTTGGATCTGTTCTGAATCTATCTCACCTGACCATATACTGTTGTGCCATATGAATCTGTCCTGCTGGTGGGATTAGACGTGCACAGGGTGGCAATGTTGGTGTCTGGGTCTTTGACTGTAGGATATGATTTGAATATGATTTTGAACATGATTTCTGATTTTGTTTATGATTCTATGATCCTGTTTGCCAATAGAAGGCTGTGGCTTGACCAGTCTGTGAGGCAACTCTCCCAATTTTGGTCGAAGCCCCAGATTTCAATAAGGAGGACTTTGCAGGGTTTACAGAGCAGGGTGTATCACTGTAATTTCCGGCGTGTACATAAATGTCAGGTGGCCTTTCTGATTTTATTCCCAGCACTGTTCCTTGTGGAACCCTACATTGACTCTGAATTATTACCCATTACTTGATTCACTGTGTCTGTCTTGAAGTCAACCAACTATCCATTTTGCTATTTGTCTGACTCTGAACTTGAGACTAATTGGCTTGTTTGGATATATGCTGGCTTGATTTCAAACACAATTACATTATTTCTGATTTCATTCTTTGATGTCTAGTTTAATTGATCTGTTTCCTTGGCAAATTCTGAAGCAAAGTAATTTGTGAACTTCTCTGTCTTTTTGCTGTAACTCTCTACGATTTCATTTTGCTCATACCATAAGAAACAGGAGCAGGTTTAGGAAATTTGCTCCCTTGGTCCTGCTCCACCATACAGTAAGATCATGGCTAACCTGATCATGGTCTCAACTCAATTTCCTGTGTGTTCTCCATAACATGCAATTCTTTCAAAGCTTATCTATTATGCCATGGCTTTTTTCAATGACCCAGACTCCACTGCTGTCTGGGCTATAAAATTCTAACAATAATGACCATCAGAGCAGAATATTTCTAATAATTTCTGTCTTAAATAGGAGATGCCTGATTCTGACACTGTGTTCCTTGATTTCTAAATTTCCCCACAACAGGAGACATTCTTTTGCATTACCTATCCAATCCAATAATACAGATTGTCCATGATTGAGGCCCAGCACTACTCTCTGTCACACTCCACAAATTAGGGATTTGGCACTTGCAAGCTTTGAAATTGCACCTTGTATGGCCAAGTCCAGGACATTGTATCAAGATGAACAGTGATCCTAAGGTGATGCCTCCAGACACATCACTGTGGGACTAAAACCTGCCCAACTGATCCTGAGGTGGGGAGGGAGGTTACCACTTCACTACATGAGCCCTTACAGTAGCAGAGTGCCAGGGGTTTGTAAATCTTATGTACTGATCAAAATAAGGTGACAGAGAGAGATCAAACTGGTACCTATTGGCCAATTAGCTTAATATCATTGGTGAGGAATGATGTTAGAGCCAATCATCATGGAATGCTACAGCATAGAAGGATGCCATTTGGCTTTTGTTACTTATATTGGTCCAAGACAAGTTGATTGTCATTTTGGAGAAACATAGGTTAATAAATGTCAATAAACATGAAATTTTAGAGATAAATCATTTTGACTTAGGGGCTTCAAAAGGCATTTGATGAAAATATCATAAAAGACTTGCTAACCCATGGAATTGACGGAACAATGACAATTTTAATACACAATTGGCTAAGAGACAGAAAGCAGAGAGAAGCAGTGTAGGGAAATCTAAAACAAGGGGCACAGTGTGTGTCACATATGTATCATAACATGTTAGAACAGGTTGACTAAAAATATCTTAGGGCTATTACAGCATAGCGCTGATGTCCCTGCATCTGAGCCCGAAGGCTTAGGTTCAAGTCTCATCTACTTCAGAGGTGTGTCATAACATATCCGAACAGGTTGCTTAAAAACATGTACTTTGCTGCCATTCCCAGATCAAGGGAAATCGAATGAATATGAACTTTGTAATCTCTACCCCTACTTCCCCCTTACCACCCTAGGATGTATCATTCATACTGAGTGACTCTCTTACAGTGAGCATTGCCAAGCTTTCTAGTATCACTATCTATTTTTGTCCCACCTAATTCCTCTGGTAGATCTTCCAATAGTGTAATATTGGCAGCACCTCTTCACTGCTGGAGACAGATGCAAAGTCATCATTTGAAACCTCATGTCCTCTGTCTCCACAGGAAGGTCTTGTGTTTGGTTCATGATCAGATCATTCTTCCTTTAACTATCATCTAATTATGTTTATAAAATGCTCATGTTTTATGCAAAACTTTAATACATTTTTATGCTCTTTTTGTCTGTCATTTCAGTTTTCCATTCACTGCTTTAGTTTGTTTCTGTACTGTTTCACGAACCTGGCATTTATCACCCTATTCCTGCTTCATTTTAATATTTATATCGTCTGTCATCCAGTGAGATTCAGCTATGAATGCCATCCTTCCCCTCTGCCATTCATAGGAAATTGTCTCAGAGATGACTGAAATATCGTTTCTTCAGAGCCTACAATTTCTCATTTAATATTTTACCTGACACACTTTGACTCTAATCAACCTGAGCCTGAACAACTCACTGAAAGCAGCTCTCTTTCAGCTGAAGTCTGAAGAAGGGTCCTGACCTGAAACGTCAGCTTTCCTGCTCCACTGATGCTGCCTGTTCTGCTGTGTTCGTCCAGCTCCAAACTGTGTTATCTCTGACTCCAGCATCTGCAGTTCTTGCTATATCCTTCAGTTGAATTATTTTTGATTGTTCCTTATTCTGTTTCATGGCTACTCTAAATCTGCAGTTCCCAATTAATGCTGAAATGTATTATTCTTACAGAACATTTCACAAAATAGTTAATTCAAACACCGAAATTTCCTTCAATGATTTTTACTTAATTGTAACAGAATGCATTTTAAAAAAATTATCACTAAAGTTAACCTAACTGCTCATTCACTCTCATTTTCTATTATCTATCCCCACGAAATTGGACTGTTTATAAAGCATTTCATTCTCGAAATTGCTCAAAGATGTTACCAAATATGTGTTATACCGAGCTGGTAAGTTGTGTAATTGAATGAAATGTGCTTTCTTTTATAGTAAACAAACCATTCTCATCCCATCTCCAAGTTGCCGAGCCCGGTCCTCCAGCTGTACCTCCATCTCTGTAATTTCTTGACGTACTGCTCGACGCAATATCTGTAGTCGTTTCACATCCTCTCTGTCAGAACACAAACATGAAATAAATAAACACAATGCCAGTAATAAAGAGAACAGTTTTATTTCTTACAAAAAAAATCCTTAAGTTGTGCGTGATATTTACAATGTTGTTATTTCCTTTCTGTAGTGTGTGGGCAACAGAATAGAATTTCTGATCATTTCATGTAGCTGAATCATTTCAGATGATTTTGAGGCATCTACATAATCAAATATAATTCAAATAGTTGGCCTGGCAAATTTGCTTTAATGGAGGATATTCTGAATCAGTTGTGGTTTTACTAACAGATAGATTTTGGCAGATTACATAGCAATATTTTTCTGTTGCAAGGCATAAATTTTCAGTATTGTTAAATTTCACTTGAAATTTGCAATGGCCAGATTTGATCCAACAGAATCTTTACTACTAATTGAGTACAATAGCCAACTCATTACCTCGTTAGTAAGAGCATATATGTGATGGGTTATCAAATATGCATGTCTCCATCACTAGTAAGTTTACTGGTGAAGTGGCAAACTCTTCCAGTCAGAATTTCATCTCCCAACAGAAACAAGGAAAGGTCAGGTAAATTTAAAAAGAAAAGGGATTTTGGTAGAAAACTCTAAAATGTAATGCCTGTGCTATTTTTATTACCTTGATGTGGATCACGATGGCCATGAGTGTGAATCCCAGACACACTTGTGAAATCGGCATCACCACTGTGAGGACTGAAGGATATTTGAATTACCTTTCCCAAGCTATTTTCGTTTTCTGATATGGCTTTTGGAAACCCATAAAGATTAGTCAGGTTTTGAGAATTTATGAGCAGAAAGGGAGTCTGGAACATTTTTTTAAAAGTTTTAAATGTTTTAACAACTTCAGGTTTTGCTATTAGCTTTAGTACAGTGTGCAACATTCTTATAAGTAAGTCTTAAATGTTTTAACACCTTCAAATTTTGCTATTACCTGTTATATTGTAATGCAAATGTGTTTCAATACAGTGATTCAATATAGGTCTCTGTCCTGCAAAGGTAAATTGACAAATGCCATTGTGATTGTAATAAGCCAGCTGGATCTCATATAATATGAGTTCCCTGACTGGGGCTGTTAATCTGGTCCAATCAAGGAGTCTTGGCTGGCATTAAAGGGTGAAAGTCAGGGATATTGAGCCCCTGTATGCCTGACTCAGTGAGAGGCAATGCTATCATCAAAGGCTATACATGTATATGGTGAAGGGTGAATGGTAATGGGATGCCAGCCTCTGAAAAGTTATTTCAGATGCTTTCGCCACCATTGTTTTAGTGTTGACATTCATTACAATACTTTTCCTGAAGGAAAATGTGCAATAACATTCAAAGCTAATATCATGTTCTGGGAAATTTTCTTGTCCTGTTTTGGATTGAGATTTGAATACCCAAATATATTTTACTTGAAATAAAAACTGGCCCTGTTGTTTTAAGTACATTAATAAAAAAAACCTAAGTACTTGCTCTACCTCAGTGATAAAACACCGCCTGCAAGTTAAAGAAAAATTCCATCTGCTTTTCAGCTTCAATGGGCTCCACTGTTTATATGTCCCACAGACTGCTTGATAGCTGAGCATATGAATACTTCAACGATTTTCAAAACATCCAGAACTGCTTATCTCAGAAGGGAACTGTGTTCCTTTGTTTCCAAGGTTATTAGTGGTTCAAGGGATAATCTAACTTTGATATGGCAAGTGGATAAGTGTTTCTAATAATAGATTGACCATTTAGTTTACACTTGTTTGAATGAGTTCTTTAAATAGGAGTTATTTTCGTTGCCAATGAATTGTCTTTCAATGTGACCATTAGTGTTAGTTCAAAGTTTGTTTTTTGTTTAGTCTCCATTTGAAATATGTTTGCCTATGGTGGATACTGGGCAAGTGATTCAGGAGAATACATGTAGGAATGGAGGGGGGGATGAGGGAGCATAGGAGATATGAGGGGGCATGGAATAATTGAGCCTTGGGTGAGCATAGGCTGTATGAGGAAGGCATACGGAATATCAATAAGCATGAATGGAGTATAGATGACATGGGAGATATGAGGGATCATGGAGGTGAGTGAGAATGAGGGAGGTGAGGATTAGCGGACGTCAAGACTGTGATGTAGAGTTGAACCAATATCCCTAGTGAGTCAAGGTTGGCCTTTTAACTAGCCAAAACCAACACAATGCAACTATCCAATGTTGCTTTGGGACTCCAAAATCCATTTCTTGCATGCTTGTCTACAGGAGACAAAAAAAAAAACAATATGGACTGAGGTGATGGGCTTGGATTTCCAAACTTGGGAATTGATCTAACCTGCATTTCCCAAGCCCAACTTGAAAATTCAGACCTTTGTCTCTGAGCCAAAATTTAAATTCAGTAGGGAGTAATGAACAGAAGATTCCTGGGGAAGAAATTAATTCAGCTGTGCTTGAACACAAATGCAATTTGCACAAATGCCTATAATTAGAAAGAAATTGTACTGTGTTATCCAATGAATTTGCATGAAAATTGCATGGATAATGTTGCATTGGGACAGTAGGCCAGGAGCTTAAGATGCAAGTTGTTAACAAAGTCATTCCTCAAGACATGTTTATCCAGCCCATAAGTAACTTGAGAAAGGACATCTATAAGTGTGGCATGTTTGTAAGGAACAGATGCCTTTTCCCAAAGCTTTTTACTTCAGGATGTCCCTCATCTCATGTCAAGAAATGGTCAATACTAACTGATAGATATTAATTGCTATGACCACCAAACAATTCAATTATCATTGTTTGTTTTACTAACTTGAGGGATTGAAATCAATTATTGGGTACATTCAAGGCTGAGATTATAAGATTTGTTAACTCCAAGGAAATCAAAGGATCATCAGGAAAGTGAAGAAGATCAGCAATGAACTTACTTAATAGCAGACCATTTTCATACAAGTCCTGCAGATTTGGAAATTTGAAGAAGTGTCACTGTGTGGTAAAATGATCTGTCTTTGAGCATAAGAAGTGGCAAATGTTTTGTTTTCCTCCCACAATTGTAATGAACACATTTTATTGATTTCAAAATGAAAAGAAACAAATATTATGGAATGAAGTAAGTGAATTTTGAAATTCAGAGATGTACCATAGATCATTTATCAACACCGTTGTGGTCATCTAAATCTGAGGCAAATTTCAGTTTTAACAGATGGCTCAATTGATATTGAGTAAAAGATGTAAGATATGAACTTGGAAGTTAGAGATCAGTTAACCTAATGTCTGTGGAGAAGGAAGTACTTAAGACAAGTACGATGCTCATCTGAAGACACAGAGGCAAAAGGAGGAGCCGCTGAAGGTTAATGAGCACTGTTACACTTAGGTCCTGTGACTTTGAGGAGTAACTAAAGATTCATCCAACAAATGACAAGCCAGTTACAAAAATTAAAAGTTGGATATTAAGGAAGGAAAGAAAATGTCATCATAAATGAAAAGGATTTGTGTAGAGTCCAAATACAAATGTATTGTTGTGGTATTATTTTTGTGGTATCTGTTTTGATGCGCAAATAAATTGGAAGAGAGAGAATTTTTTATGGTACTAAAATATTTCCTGATACAAAGTTTGTCCAGGAGACAGATGTCAGAGTGAAAAGTAGCATGGGAAGAGATCTGAGAATGGATAGCTCACAGGTAAAGCAGAGAGCGATTTAACCATACAGATCAAAACGGCTCCAATAGTAGTCCCCATTCTGTGATGACTTAGCTGTTCTCAGTTAGCAAGTTCAGAGTAAGGATTCTATAATGGGTTTCAGAAGCTTGGGTTTAGCAGAAGAAAACAAACAGGATTCATCCTTCTGATCACTGTCCAATAATGGCTGCTTCAAGTTCATGTGTGATCACACTGCACAGTGGGAACAGCTCTAGGCTCAGCAGTATGTTAGTCTTGCTCACACTTTCTGTCATGCCTCACGACTGAAGAATGGCAAGTTGGTTAGGAAATATTTAGGCAGCTGTACTTCAGCAAGGAGTTTACACCTTCAAAAAATAAGCAGTGATAAATTGAGAAGGATTAACAAAAAAAGGGGGGATTTATGCCAATTAAGCAGATGGCTCAATGATAGGCAGATACATTTCAGCTCTCGCTATGTGGTAACATTCTCAGCAAGATTTACCAACTCTGCTTACATTTTCCTGGAGATTTGATCACGTGGCATTTGATCACATGATGTTTTATCTTGTGACAGCTCATGTGAGGTTTAATCACATCACATTTGATCACATCACCTTAATCCAATATTTGCAGAAGTTATTGCTCTTACAGTATCAGCAAACTCCAATTTTTTTTTCTTGTTTATAGTTATATGTTAAACTCTTCATAAAACAAAGCTAGAACAGACAAAAAATGGTTTATGAATAATAAAAGTTTCAATTAAAAATGATTTCTATAATGTTTTTGCAGTACTGATGATCCCATGGAATTTTTCCAAAGAAGAGTGAGTGAATTAATTCAACCAACATCTGAAGTACAATAAAGATGCAAGTCTTTCTTTTTTTAAAAATCTATTTCTTTGGTCATTTATCATAATAATGTCCTTTTGTAGGTCAGTGCCAAATTTTGCTAAAAAATAATCATTGCTATGAAACACTTAAGGATACCTTTTGTAATGTTAAAGGTCCTTTAAAAATAAAATTATTGTTAGTACAGCAATATAACTTTTATTCAGAGCTTGATGTGATGAAAGCACATGTTGGGAATTTGCACATAGTAATAAATATATTCAGTCTGTCTGTTGTACACTTCTAGGAACAACAAAATAACCCAGGAGTTCAACTAGGAACTACTTGAACATAATTTTTCAGTTTATCAGAAACAAAACCAGAAATTGCTGGAAAAGCTCAGCAGGTCCGGCAGCATTTGTGAAGAGAAATCAGAGTTAATGTTTCGGGTCCGGTGACCCTTCCTCAGAACTAACGGAAGAACCACTGAAGGTTAATAAGCACTGTTATACTTAGTTTCTGCGACTTTGAGGAGTAACTAAAGATTCATCCAATTAATGACAAGTTAGTTACAGAGATTAAAAATTGGGTATTGGGGAAGGGAAAAAAAATCAAACTGTTAACTTTGATTTCTCTTCATAGATGCTGCCAGACCTGCTGAGCTTTCCCAGCAATTTCTGTTCCTGTTTCTAATTTACAGCATCTGCAGTTCTTTCTTTTTTTCAGTTTATCATATCATTTGAACAAAGAACTTCTTTAATTGTCACAATCCTTTTGTGAGAAACCTATTTGGCAAAGCAGGCTTTCACTTCTTTCTAAGCACACAATGAAATGACATTAATCATATTTAATAATTGGATGAATCTTTAGTTACTCCTCAAAGTTGCTGGAACTAAGTGTAACAGTGCTCATTAACCTTCAGTGGCTCTTCCTTTTGTTCTGAGGAAGGGTCACAGATGCTGCCAGACCTGCTGAGCTTTTCCAGCAAATTCTGTTTTTGCTAATTATATTTATTTGCTTCATTATCATATTTTTTGCATTATTCCTGACTCTCCCAAAATACAAGCTTTAACAAATTGACACATTTAATTGTCCAAAGTTCATATCAAGCTAAACCAACCTCTCATCATCAGTTAGAATATTGTAGACTGAAGCCTGCTGTTCAATGATGTCCTGTTCTAGTTCCACCAACCTGTTCCGAAAACCCTGTAGAGATTTCCTCATGGTCTCAATTTCCCATATGGCATTCTAAAAATGTAAAAGAAGAAATGATCTGACAAGCTGTGACATTTCTGTAACCATAGTTTATGGTTATGAAATGGTGAATGATTTTTTTTTTGTAACTGGATCAACCAGCAAATAAATTCAAAGTTTGGAGATAGTAAGAACTGCCGATGCTGGAGTCAGAGATAACACAGTGTGGAGCTGGATGAACACAGCAGGCCAGGCAGCATCTGAAGAAGGGTCCTGACCTGAAAGGTCAGCCTTCCTGCTCTTCTGATGCTGCCTGGCCCGCTGCTTTCCTCCAGCTCCACACTGTGTTATCTCTGACTCCAGCATC